TCAACCTAGCTTTATAAAACCAGTTTTTTTTTCTAGTATAGTTTAAAATTATTTTAAAGCCCCAGGCAAGGCTTTAATCATTCAGTTTAAGTTCTAAGTAATTTTTTTTTCTTCTGTATGTCGTCAGTCAGACTTGATTTTAAACATTCACTTTTCTAATTAAGGAAAACATCTTGAGATCTCCTGCTTTATCCCAATTTTTTTTAAATTCTAAAATTCCTTCTGTTTATAAAATGTGAACCTTATTAAATATTTTACATTTTTTATTTCAGTAGTGCTTGTATTTATCCACTCTTTCAATTATGCCACAAATAGCTAGAATTGTTAAAAAGGAGAGAGAGAGAAAGATAGATCTGATCTGTGTGTTTCAAAATGCAGTAACTCATACCCTGGCATGCTTCAACACCTATTTGAAAATTAATTATGCAAAGATTATTCCATTTCCCTTGCTCATTTTTGTTGCTGCATCCTCATCCTTCCTGATCTTCTTATTCCCTATCAGTTTTTCCTTTAATCTTAGTCAGCATGTTATTGCTGCTAAAGAAGGGGAGGTAAAAGCCTGGCCTTGATCGTCTTCCTCTACTACTTTGTTATCATAAATCTGTGACCCTTTGAAACAGCTGGAGATGCTTTACTTGGTATATTGTGCATATCCAATGGGAATATTTGTATGAGTAAAAGATAAAATTTAGAAATATAGGGAATTTGGTTTTAATAAGGATGGTTTAACTTGAATTTTTAAAAAAGTTTTGTTGAATGTCTTAATTTGAAAATTTTAAAAATTCTTTTGAGTATCTTTTTTAATATTACTTGTCTTGAGGTGCCTTACAGCCAGACCTGTGAAGTAGATCAGTAGGTTTTTACTTTGTTCAACAGCTTGTGTCCCTAGTTTGTGCTTTCATATAGGATTTCAGCCTTTGCAAAATGAATTGCCAGTAACTATCATTTGGCTGCTAACTGAGAGGTTGGCAGTTTGAACCCACCAGCCGTTCCTCAGGAGAAAGATGTGGCAGTTTGCTTCCATAAAGATTTATAGCCTTGGAAACCCTATGGGGCAGTTCCTCTCTGTCCTATAAGGTCGCTGTGAGTCGGAATCAACTTGACAGCAATGGGTTTGGTTTTGGTTATTATTTAGCAGCCATTTATAAGGAAGAACTTCTGCCTGAAACGCCAATTCAAGGTTGATTGGCAGAGCCATAGATAAGCTTTTTATGAAATTTGAAAAGTTTTATCAGATAATCATGTGCTGGCAGCGAAGGAGGCAAATGTTGTAATTGGTTCAAATTGTTTTAACCAGGTAAACTTATTTTGAGTTTGGTGTTTTCTTATTCAGAGAGGCTATGAGACATACAGATGTCTTTTAAGATGCTGTCTTAGAGACAGTTTTTAATTTCTGCAGCTTTTTTAATAACAGGGACATTTATGTGAAAACAAGTCCCTTGTTTCTTAAGGGTTCTGCTTTTATTGTTTATTTGAATAATATTCTTTATTTTGGAAAATCACAGTCATCGCCATAGCAACCAATGATGTTAGCAATGGAAGGTTTTACCAAAGAAGGAAGTACACAGAAAGCAATGGATCTGATGGAATAGAAGTCCTAATTTTTCTACATGCATCCTTAGAAATCAAGAGCAAAAATAATATATATATATATGTATGTATGTATTAGCACAGTAGTTTTTCCAAATGAGATCACAGGACAGTGATAAATTATATAATGTTTTATTATATTAAAAGAGCCCTGGTGGCATAATGGTTAAGTGCTCGGCTGTTAACCGAATGGTCAGCTGTTCAAACCCACCAGCTGCTCTGTGGGAGGAAGATGGTGGCAGTCTGCTCCCATAAAGATTTCAGCCTAGGAAACCCTATGGAGCAGTTCTACTGTGTACTGTGGGGTCATGATTGAGTTGGAATCATCCCAGCGGCACACAACAACAACATACTATATTGAAATATAAAAGATATTAAATTGTTGGTTCCTCTAAATTTAGAAGTTCTTTTTTAAAAAAGTTTAGGATGGTAGTTAAAAGCATATCTTCTGGAGCCAGAGTGCCTAGATCCATCACTTATTATCTGTACCGCTGCAGGCACGCTCTTCTCCTTGCCTCATCTGTAAAATTGGGTTATTCGAGAATAGTCTTTCTTATAGGGTTATTAGGAAAACTAATATGAATATGTGTGAAGTGTCTGGAACCATGAATTATACATAAGGTGTTTCTACAATGTTTCTGTTCTTTTTACAACCTAGGTAAGATTAAATTAAAGATGTTTCAGCTTGATTTTTAAGTTTTAATTTATTATTATCTTGGTCCAAAGTATATGGTATTGTGTCATTTTGGGATATATGATTTAAGTGTTTGGTATATCTAATTTCTAACGACTCGTATTAAATATAGTGTTCCTTCATAGATATACGAACACATTGTTCCTTTATTATAAGTATGTTTATAAAGAAATACAGTTGGATATATACAAAAAAGCCCTTTATCTTCCAGATAGGATCACTTTGACTGGGTTCACTTAACTAAGTAAATGGTAGTCCAGTAAGGAAAGCTCTAAGTATAATTTTCTACTTTAATTAGTTGTCAAAGTCATTTTGATAATTAATGCAAATAAATTAGGACTTACCCACTTTGGTTTCCTGTCATTTTTCTTTAATTCATAAAACATGACTTATAGTTCTTAATTATGCCCTATGGCTTGGGCATTTGTGGTTTTCAGCATTGGCTGAGCTGTGCTGACCTTCTGAGGAGGCGGTGGGTATGTACAGCCGCCATGTGAATGCCTCACATTTTGTTTCTTGCCAGACCAAGGGGGACAGGCAAGCATAGGCCAGGGGCTCAAAGGTATTCCAAATGTCTCCTCTTCTCAATGTTCAGATTAAAAATGTGTTTAGATGATCAAGCTCCAACTCTTGACAAATGTAATAACTCCTCCATTTTAAATCTTATGTGGGTGACAGCAGAGAATTCCCTTGATAGTCAAGTAGCCCTCGGCAGAGATTTATAATCTGGGCTGAGTGTTTGGGAGATGGAAGATAAAGATGGGAGTAAAGGGCCAGAATTGACCTGGAAGGGAGAGGAAGGGTGCTGGAGAAGAGAAAGTCAGAATGACAAAGAACGAATGATAGAGATTGATAAACTCTGTCCTTAGATGTAATTTTGCCCAAAACGCTAAATTCCATTCCTAAGAATAATTTTAGTTGTTTATAGTGCCCATCTCAAGATACGTCGTCTGATTTAGACAAATTCTAGCTTGTCTCTCATGTAGACTCACTGGTTCATCCCAGTGTCTTTCCATCTGTATCTAGCCCTTCCTGGGCACAGTCTTCACAGAATTTCTCTCTTTTCAGGGCTTAGCAGTATCTCGGATTCTGTTGTAAACAAATCAAACAAATTCATACCTAACGGAAAACATTATGCACTATACATTCCAAAAAAATGAGAATGAGATTGTGTGTCAGCTACTCACAGAATTGTTATTGGATCACTGTTATATTGTAAAACAATGTTTCGGGTGCCAGTTTGGAAGACTTAAAGACTGTTGAACTCTACAAAGATCTTTGGAAAAGAGTCCCTGATCAATGTGGACAAGGGTTAGGAAAGAGAATAGGCAGCCTAGGAATGCCAGATAGATCAACGCCAGTGGTCAACTAGAAAATGAGTTCACCTTTTATGGTTGTAGGAATATTGTTACAATTGGTGGAAATGAAGATATTCTGCAGCCCCTAAAGAAGATACTGAGGGCTTTTCATTGATTGTTGTACATGTAGAAGCTACCAAAATGGGGGACCCAGCCTTTTCTGTGTTGAGGAATCAGCCTGCAGTGGACCTAGAGAAAGCCTCTTTCCCATTATTGTCATTGGAGTTTTATACACAGTGAAGGAGGTCTTAAATCTCTTCTTTTCTAATGTAGTTTTAACTTTGTCTTGTTAAAATTTTTTATTTTGCAATTTAAGTTTCGAACTTTATACTGTGACCTCAGAAGGAATGATTCTTTTGCTCATATTAATTAGGAAAAAAAAATATTTTTAACTTTTGTCACAGAGGGCTAACTTCTACAGTATAAAAGCTGTCCTGCAAATCAGTAAGAAAAAAATATAATGAGAGAGTTTACAGGAAATCTAAATGACTCTCATGAAAAAAAAAGATGTTCAGTCTCCTATAAGAGAACTTCACATTAATACTGTGCTGGATAACCTTTTTTCACCAATGGAATTGACAGATATCCAGAAGTTAATCTAACATTGTATTGATGCACATGGGCTATGGGCTTTCTCATACATGGCTAGTGGGAGTGTAATTCATACACCCCCTACAGAAGACAGTTAAGCTATTTCTATCAAAATTTCAAGTGAAATTCCAATTCTAGGAATTTAACCTACAGATATACTTTCATATATGAGAAATGGCATGCACATTGCATCATGGTTTGTAATTGCAAAAGACTGGAAATCTGTCAGTGGTGTGTGTGAAATAAAACATGGTGCATCCACACAGTGGAATACTACACTGCTGTAAAATGGGTTCCTTATGAACCCATATGGAAAAATTGTTACGTTGTTAAATAAAAAGAAAAGGTGCCGAACACTGTGCATAGAATTTTTGTGTAAAAAGGGTTGATCATTGGGCCACAGGGCTTTGTGATTAGGTTAAAGGCTGCAGGACTTTGTGATTAGGTTGAAGGCTTATGTCATCATCATGGAAATCCATACCTGAACTCACTCCACCATCTGAAGAGCAGACACCTGCCTCTGTATCCAAGATGTTCAAGATGGCACATTTCTAATAATAATTCTGGTTTAACATCTTTATTTTCTGTACTTGGGCAGAAAATTTCATAGTGTTCTTTAGTATAACTTTCCTTGTTAGTTTGAAGTTTTTAAAAGATCAGCCTAATTCACATAATTACCTCTGACTGCCAGTGTATATCCAGTAGAGATTATTTATTTGAGAACATATAAAGTGAAACTTAATTTTATTATTTCTTCTGTATTTTAGGGACAGACGTTTGCTTCAGCCTGCCCAAGTGTGTGACATTTTGAAGGGTGTCATTTTGGTAATCTGCTATTTTATGATGCACTATGTGGACTACTCCATGATGTATCACCTGATTCGAGGGCAGTCTGTCATCAAGCTCTATATCATCTACAACATGCTTGAGGTAAGGGCCTCATTCCCCCGGATGGGCAGTCTAGTCCACTACCTACACAGGCTTGGTTCGTGAGCACAACTTCAAGTCTTCCAATGCAGACAGTACCTGAAAATCAGGAGTATTTGTTCTGCTTACTCTAGTAATGGTGCTTCTGGCCTTTAATGTGCATACAGCCCTTGGGGATCTTAAAATGCGGATTCTGATTCAGTAGGCCTGGGGTGAGGATGGAGAGTCGGTATTTCAGACAGGGTGGTACCTGGGACACACTTAGGGTAGCGGGTCCTTAGGGTATGATGTTTCCTCAGATACGGAAGGAGGATACCTGCAAGGAAGAAGGAGATCTGCTGCCTAGACATATTTGGATCAGTAGCCCTTGGAAATGTAAATTGTCACATGATAGTATAATTTGTTTAGTAAATCTCTTGGAAATCCATGCATACTTTTTGCCAGAACTTTAAAAATGATAAAGAAAATGTTATGTTTATGTATGTGTTTGCCATAAAAGATTTACATTTTAAATTACGTTAAAAAAAATTTTTTTTATTGTGCTTTAGATGAAGGTTTACAGAGCAAGTTGGTTTCTCATTAAACAATTAATACACATTGCTTTGTGACATTGGTTGCCAACCCCACAACATGTCAACATTCTATCCTTCTCAGCCTTGGGTTCCCCATTACTAGCTTTCCTGTGCTCCTGCCTTCTTGTCCTTGCCCCTGGGTTGGTGTGCCCACTTAGTCTTATTGTGTTTTATGGGCCTGTTTAATCTTTGGCTGAAGGGTGAACCTCAGGAGTGACTTCAGTAGTGAGTTAAAAGGGTATCCAGGGGTCATGTTCTCGGGGTTTCTCCTGTCTCTGTCAGACCAGTAAGTCTGGTCTTTTGTGAGTTAGAATTTTGTTCTGCATTTATCTCCAGCTCTGTCCAAGACCCTGTATTGAGATCCCTGTCAGAACAGTTGGTGGTGGTAGCCAGGCACCATTTGGTTGTGCTGGGCTAATTCTGGTGGAGGCTTTGGTAGCTGTGGTCCATTAGTCCTTTGGACTAATCTTTCCCTTGTGTCTTTAGTTTTCTTCATTCTCCCTTTCTCCAGACAGGGTGGGACCAGTGGAGTATCTTAGATGGCCATTCATAAGCTTTTAAGACCCCAGACGCTACTCATCAAAGTAGGATGTAGAATATTTTCTTTATAACTGTGTTATGTCAGTTGAGCGAGATGTCCCCCAAGACCATGGTCCCCAGCCCTCAGCCCAGTAATTTGGTCCCTCGGGGAGATGGGATGTGTCTTTGAAGCCTCCATGACCTTGCCTTGGTCAGGTTATGCTGGCTTCCCCAGTATTGTGTACTGTCTTAGCCTTCACCAAAGTTACCACTTACCTATTGTCTAGTTAGTGTTTTTCTCTCGCCACCCTTCCCTCCCTCATAACCATCAAAGATTGTTTGTTTTTGTGTATAAATCTTTTCATGAATTTTTATTATAGTGGTCTCATGCTATATTTGTCCTTTTGTGATTGACTTATTTCATTCAGCATAATGCCCTCCAGATTCATCAGTGTTGTGAGATGTTTTGCAGATTCATCATTGCTGTTTATCATTGCGTGGTATTCCACTGTGTATATGTACCATAGTTTGTTTATCAAAATGCTTTGAAATTTTTACAAAGAGCAAGTAAACATAAGTTTCTTAAATTTCTATAAGTGTTAACATTTTAATATATCTCACTTTAAAGCAGTCAGCATATGAAAATCTGCATTTGTATAAAACCTAAATTAAGCAGTTATACATTCACTTACAAAAGAATTTGTTTGTTTTATAAGAAAAGTCTTCATACATTTTTTTTTTTAATAGTAAGCTACCCTTGTAGGTTATGTAATAGAATTTGAAATTCAAATTGCATTTTCCTATACTACATTTTTGGAGCCCCGGTGACACAGTGGTTAAGAGCTCAGCTGCTAACCAAAAAAGGTTGGTAGTTTGATTCCACCAACCGCTCCTTGGGAACTCTGTGAGGCAGTTCTACTCTGTCCTGTAGGGTCGCTATGAGTTGGAATCGCCTTGATGGCAACGGGTTTCGTTTGGGTTTTTTATACACTACATTTTAGGGACACAGTAGGGTCTGCCTATCTTTAAATTAGCCACGAGGCGATTTTCCTAGTGAGTGAACAGTTGAGATGGTGTGGGTGCCAGCCTTCCTGCTTGCAGCTGCTTTGGTGGTAGATGAGGACTGTCATCTCTGCACAGCAGCCATGGAACGCGAGCCATGCTAGTCACTCCTCAGTCCATTGAATTAGATGATTTAAGCCTACACCACCGCTTCCTGGTTGTAGTCTCATTGTGCATATACTTGCCTTGTCCACCACCGAGTGGGATGCAGTGGGGTGGATGTGGGGTGAAATTTATGAAGCTGAGTAGCAGGTCCTGCTGTGCCCTCCCTTTCACAGAAAGAAAAGCGTAGGCCTCATCCTTGTTCCTTCTGATGTCTGAGGTGCTCTTCCTGTCATTGCCCTCCAAGTCTCCTTTACAGCTTCTCCCTCTTAGGGGATGGCAGGTGACCAGTGCTTCACCTTGTCAAAGCTTAATATGTGCCTCCTGACTTAAAGAGCCCTCTACAAGGTGGTATTTTTATTATTATATCTAATAATTGCTGATCAAAATGGTTTAGATACTTACTCCATTTGTAGACTGCAGTTGATGATGTGGTTTAAGCACAGTGTACAAGAGTCCAGGCTCTAGTCTAGAGACAGATTGCTTCAGATCAAACCCTGGCTCCATCACTCACTGCCTGGTTATCCTGGACAGAGTTACTGAATGTCTCTAAGCCTCAGTTTTCTCATCTGTTAAATGAAGATACTAGGGTGATTATGAGAATTAATGAGATGGTGCATAGAAAGGACTTAGCACAATGCCAGGCATGTGGCAAGAGTGCCATAAATGGTAGCTATTATTCAGTCATTTAACAGATATTTAATCAGCACGTCCTGCATGCCAGCACTGTCTTAGACTGTAAAAATACGGAAGTGAATAAAGCAGATAGAGCTCCTGTTTCCATGGAAGTTCTAATCTAGAGGTGGAAGATAGACAGTAAACAAGGAGGTACTAGGAAATGATAAATACTATGATGACAAAGAACTGGGTGATGCAGTGGAGTCCATGGGGGCCACAAGAGGTTGGGTGGTCTGAGAAGGCCTCTCTTCAGATGGGGCATCCCAGCTGAATCCTGAATGATATGCCCCTTTTTCTTTTTTATGTGTCCCTTTTTATTTGTTGTACTATATTTATGGAGACTAACACAAAACAAATGACAGCTACCATTGTTTACAAATATTAGGTGTGAATAGAGTGAGTCAAATAATATATTTGTCCAAAAGTATTTAAGTTTGAATCTTCAGTTTGGATTTAAAGAGTTAAAACCAGAGAAATGACAATTTTTGATGTGCTCTCCTTTTTATTTTTGCTACCATTTGAGGCTTCCCTTGTTACAAACGTAGATAATTGGGTAAAGTCTAATTCAAATTATACAAATAAAATGAGCGCTTACTCTGAGTCAGAGAATAAAGAAATATCAGTAAATGAAGATCCCTGCTCTCTTGGAGCTTACCTTCTGGTATGGATTTAAAAAATCACATCTCCGGTTTGAAGTGGACCTGAATTTTAGTAACATATATTTAAATGGAATATGAAAAAACACCTTTCCGGAATTTTTCTTTTTAGGTAGCTGATCGTCTGTTTTCATCCTTCGGGCAAGACATATTGGATGCTCTCTACTGGACAGCAACGGAGCCTAAAGAAAGAAAACGAGCCCACATCGGGGTGATTCCCCACTTTTTCATGGCCGTTCTCTATGTCTGTATCCTTTTAGACTTAACGGAAATTTCAACAGTCACTGCATACATTATTGTATTTGGTTAGCTGCTCCCCAGAGCTAAACATATATCTGTATATACATATATAAGGAGCCCTGGTGGCGCAACAATTAAGCACTTGGCTGCTAACAGAAGGGTTGGCGGTTCAAACCCACCCAGCAGCTCTACTGGAGAAGGACCTGTTGATCTACTCCTGTAAAGATTACAGCCTAGAAAACCCTATAGGGCAGTTCTACTCTATCAACATGGGGTCACTATAATTTGAAATTGACTCAATGGCATCTAACAACAGTATAATGTATTTGTGTGTGTGTGTATATTAATCCTGGAGATTAATGTTGAAATGTCCGTTTTCTTTTGAGAAATTGGTTGTAATAGTAATTGTAAATTAATTTAAAGAGGCTCATGTTTGCATCACCAGTTAAACTGCTAGAAAACAGTTTTAGCCTCATTGTAACTGATTATAAGGATTTAAAAATCAAAGGATAGTGTACATTTATACATACTTCACACTTACATAGATTCATATAACTTTTTCATATTTATGTTGAATTTTTCCTCAAATTATCTTTTAACTTACGAATTCTTTGTTATAACACTGGCTTAAAATGTTATAGAATATATCTCGAAGCAAAAGTTTAAATTGATTGGAGAGGAATTTGGAAGATTTTTTTTCTCCCTGGTTTAAGGGTTTTCTTTTGGCGAGTACATGCTTCACTTCACTGTGTAAACAGTGTGCATATGTGCATGTACTTGTGCATACATATATGTACGCGCACATCCATACCTACGCTTCAGTTTTATGTGGGGTCATGGCTCATTCACAGGATTGTGTCATAGGATTTTTTTTTCTTAATATTTCTGAAAGAATGACACTTGAGAGAAATTAGATTCATACTTAGGAAGTTAAGGGACTAAGTTGGAAGATTTTTGTGAGAGTCAAAGCTTGTTACAGAGATAATGGAGTAAAAAAAAAGTTGCCATTCTAGTATGTAATCCACTGTTCCAAATGAGATATGGATGTGATTCTGCAGCTCGTGGGTGTCCTCAGGGATGACCTATGAGGAAGCATGTTAATTATCAGGCTTTTCTTCTTGTCTGACATTCCACATCCCCTAAAGAACGAGGGGCGGGAATCATGTCCAGACTAACTTTTGTCTTCTGTTCTTTTCCTTTTTAGAAAGCAAATTACATTAATTCAGAAACCATACTTCTAAGTCTCTTTTTCCAGCATTTACCAAAATTTATTTCATTTATTTTACAAACTTTTTTGAGGGCCAATTCCTCAAGTACTGCCAAGTGCTAGAGATACAGAAAAAACAAGACAACCCCAGTTCCGAAGCTCCTCACAGTAAAAAATGATTGTACAAAAGTTCATTTCTACTTCTGTTATTTCCATCTGGGTTGCATATATTCTGGAAATTTATATCAACTATAGCTAATAGGAAAATTATGGAGATAATAAAATACTTACTATAAGACTTGATTTAAAAAACGCCATCGTTTTCCTCCATTACTCACTTTCAAAACTTCATACCAAATCCGTTGCCGTCGAGTTGATTCCCACTCACAGTGACCCTATAGGACAAAGTAGAACTGCCCTAAAAGGTTTCCAGGGCTGTAATCTTTACCGCAGAATGGCTGGTGTGTTCGAATTCCAGCCGAGCACTTAACTACTGCGCCATCAGGACTCCTTAAAATTTTTATATCTATTAATATAATATCAAAACAGGCTTATATTTTTCCTTAACACCACTTACTGCTAGTTTTGCATGCAATTCTTATAATGGTTCAAGCAACAACTCTCAATGTAGCTTTTAACTCACACAACAAGTCACTGCTTACTATCATGATGTCTAATAATGTAAGTATGAGATTTTATTTTACATTTTTATAAATGTAAAAATATGTAAAAACTAAATGGTCACTATAGCAGCCGTATTCTAGATGGGATAAAATTATTTGATCTATGTGTTATTTATTCCCTAGGAAGAGTTAAGTTTTATATGTAGCATGTCCATTTTAAAAACTGCTATAAAGATGATACTTTTGTTTACTATTTCAGTTTGTTGAAATTAAAGGAAGTGTTTTCAAGAAGTTTGAAAAGAACAATCTCTTTCAGATGTCAAATAGCGGTATGTACGATTACATTCTGCTTGCACCTCTGTAGTGTTATTTTGCGATTCTATCTTAAACCCTGATGTCACATTAGGAACCCTGGTGTCACATTAGGAACCCTGGTGGCATAGTGGTTAAGAGCTCAGCTGCTAACCAAAAGGTCGGTAGTTCAAATTCACTAGCTGCTCCTTGGAAACCCTATGGGGCAGTTCTACTCTGTCCCATAGGGTCGCTATGAGTCGGAATCGACTTGATGGCACCTAACAACAACATCACATTTCCTGTGGGTCACTGTTTCTTTGACTTTGGCTGTGTTTTCTCATCTCCTATCAACATCTTTACTAGGCTTTCTTATTAACTTTGGCTGTTGTCATCTCGGGATATTTAATTCAGATAATAAAAGTTAGAAACTTTTTTACAGTACCTTACCATACTTTCAGAAGCTTCTCACTAATCTAGAAATTTCTCTGAAACAGATGATATTATTCCTTTGAGAGATTTGGAAACTGAAACACAGAGAAAGTAATTTGACTTCCTCAAGGTCACTCACATAGCTTCAAAGAGCAGCATTATGACTACAAATCCCCGGTTGTCTCCAAATTCTCAGCTTTTTCAGTTATATCTCACTGCATCTTTTTAATCTCAGAAAGTGTGAAGGCACAACATTTATCTCTGGTAAATGTTATCTTACATAATTATGAAGTCAGAGCGACATAGTATAGTGGTTCTCAAAGTATGGTTCCTGGAACCCTGCAGGGCACCCCTGAGACCCTTTCAGGGAGTCACAAAGTCAAAACTATTTTCATAAGAATATGAGGGTATTATTTGTCTTTTTCACCATGTTGACATTTGCACTGATAATGGAAAGCTGTGATGCCTTAGCTGGTGCTTTAGCAAAGGCAGATGCAGTGGAGAGGAAGGACAGCTGAAGCCATTGAGTTGGTAATGTCCTTGAGGTGGTGAGACGGCAACAAGAGAGAGAGGATGGGGGTTGATCTTAGATAAGAGCATAGAAGGCTCAGCGAGAGCAGCAGTGCTTAGACTTTTGGGCCTCAAGACCCTTGTACATTCTTAAAAACTATGAAAGAAGAGAGTAGAAAAGTCTAATGAAAGTCTGTTTTGAAAATAGTTTTGGCGTCACACACACACACAAAAAAAAACGTCATCCTGTCGATTCTGGCTCAAAGCAACCTTATAGGACAGACTAGAAGTGCCCCATAGGATTTCCAAGCTGTCATCTTTAACAGAAGCAGACTGCCACATCTTTCTCCCTCCAAGCAGCTGGTGTGTTCGAACTGCCATCCTTTTGATTACACAGCTGAGCATTTTAACCACTGCGCCGCCAGGGCTCCTTGGACACACTTTGAGGACCACTGACCTATAGTAATAGGAGGGAAGGCAGAGTACTTGGGCATAGATGCAGGTAATGGGAATACATGGGAGGCCTCTCCTGTTTCTCTTTTCTCGAGTAAGAAGCCAGGTCATCAGCTGGGATTGATGGAGATTTAAGGAGAGAACAGAAAGGGAAAATCTCAAGGAGAATGGGAGAGTGAATGGACTAGGGCAGGAGTCAGCAAACTACTGCCTGTGGATTGAACTGCCACCTATAAAGTAAAATTGTATTGAAGCATAGCAGCATCCATTTGTTTACATAGTGTCTATGGCTGCTTTTGCACTATAACAGCAGAGTGGAATAGTTATAACAGGACCCAATGGCCCATCAAGCTAAATATGTTTACTATCTGGCCCTTTACAGAAAGCACTTGCCGATCCTTGGGCTAGGGTAGTATGTGATTGACAGACAGCACAGAGTCCGCTTGACATTTGTAGCTATGAATTCATGATTCTAGTCATCAAGTCTCTTTGTTTCCCTTTAGCCCCATTCACCCTCACTAAGGAGGTGCAGAATACATTTAACTGGGGTTAGGGTTTTACCAGGCAAGGCTAATGAAGGGAGAGAGGAGCAAGGATGTGAAAAGCTTAAAGCAAGAAAATGACTCTGGACTGGAGTCTAAGCTTCGTATGGAATGAAGAGAAACAGTGAAAAA